GCCTCGTGATGCAGAAGCGGGCGAAGCGCTCGCAGGGCCCCCACACGCCGTGGGTGCTGGGCCACAAGCGCCTCGCCGGCACGAAGGCGCTGCGCCACACGGAGGCCCGCCTCGCCTCGCGTCACCAGAAGAGCACCTCGCGCCCGTACGGCGGCGTGCTGAGCCACGAGCAGGTGCGGGACCGCATCCTGCGGGCCTTCCTCATCGAGGAGCAGCGGATCGTGAAGCGCGCGCTCAAGGCCCGCGCCAAGTCGCAGAAGGAAAAGAAGCGCCGCGACGCCAAGAAGAAGCGCAAGGAGGAGAAGAAGGCCGCCATCTCGAAGAAGATTGCGAAGAAGATCGGCGCGAGGTCTGCGCTCACGAAGAAGCCGGCCGCCAAGAAGAGGACCACGGCGAAGGCCCCCGTCGGCGCGACGCTCAAGAAGAAGTAGAGGGAAGGAGGTGCACTGAGCTGGCGTTGATGTGACTCATGGGTGTTTAAATCCTTTGTCCTTCTATAGCTTTATTTTCTGTTTTTTCATTTCGTTTTTTTTTCTTTTCTGATGGAAGAAAACTACACACAACAACAAAGCAACCTTGCTTTTCATCGTTTCTTTGATGGAACTCTTATCCTTCTTTTGCTTGGCTTCTTGTTGCTCTCTTGTTTTGCGTGGACTACGCCCGCACGTCTGCCGCTTTCTTTTCCTCCTCCTCATCGCGGTTTTCCACGTCTTTAAGGGGGGGGGGGCACGGCCACGCTTGACGGAGATGCTCCACCGTTCGTCCTGGCAGGGGAGGCTGCATGCGGGAAGCGCGGCGAGTGAGGAACGCGGCGCCTCGGAGGAGCGGGAGCGCGCCTTGCAACGGCTCCCTGCCTCTGTTCAGGCGATGCTGCTGCGGGCCAACCTCAAGCTAACCGAGAGAGAGATGCAGAGTATTTCTTGCGCGACGGCGGATCAGCGTTGTGAGGCGCTTCGCATGATCTTCGAGGGTCAGTCCGCGCAGGATGCGGTGTTTTTTCTGCTTAACCTGAGCTGCCGCAGCACATCCTCAGCGACGGCGAAGGCGGTTGCGAATCCCGCTGCAAGAGCAGCCATAATGGGGGTGACGGGCGCTTCTCAGGCAGTCGCGCCCCTTCCCAGCCACTCCGCCTTGGAAACTCCACCCTCACCAGATCCCGAGCCCTTCCCGCGTGAAAGGCTGCCGACAGCGCAAGCCCTTCCTCCGCCGTCGCTGCGTTCTACGGTCATGAACTACGGCTGCAGCACTGAGGATGAAGAGGATAGGCGCAGCTCGTCATCCTCGAGCGTGCCTTCACCGCACCCGCGGCCCCAGAAGGCGCCCTCACGAGCGCTGAGTGAAATTAGAGTTAACACCGCCGCTCTTCCAGCAGCAATGAATGTGGCGAAAGTGGTTTCAAATCAGTCGCAAGTAACAGTTACGAAGGGCCCGGATCCTTGCGTGGTAGGGTGCCCTCAGCGAGTTCTCAAGGGAACTCCAGCGGGAAACGCTAACAAGGCGGCAGAGGAGAGTAGCAGGCCAGCTTTCCTACCAGTGTCCACATGTTTAACTTCAACGGCTTGTTCGGCATGGAATGAGCGCTACCAGACATTCATTGTGCATCCCAATCAGTTGAAGCGACTTGAGGAGTTGAAGAAGCATATGACGCCCCCGACAGTTATACATCCTCGCAATGGCGGAGCCTTTCACCGCTTAAAGACAGATATGTGTCGTCCATTCGCACTTCCATGCACCACCTTGACGACGGCACCGCCCGCCCCTCTATGGGTATTCCATCAGAAGCGCGCTGCTGATCCAGGAAGAGGCGCTGCACCTATTACGCCGCGAACGCGCAGCGCATATCACCACACAGTCGATGAGGAAGATTTCTCTTCGGCCCCATGTGTACCGCCACTGACGAATCTGAAGAGCATAACGAGGAAAGAAGGGGTCTTCGTTCGTTTGTACACCAATTCCTCCGTGCGAGGAACTCCCAGAGCAGCCACGGCACGTGGGGGAACGTCTACGGCGTTTGCAAATGAGCGAACTAGAACGCCGCGTAGTGCCACAGCTCGGCGCAGTTCGTCTAGCTACAGGTGGCGGGCCGCGGTACAAGACGGAGATGGTATGGGCACGCGTCCGACGTGGTGGCCACCAGGCCGGTCTACAACGCCTCATGCCTACTGCCGCCACACAACACCCGTAGGGGTGATTTCCGCACGAGGCCACGGTGGCGGACTCACGAGTGCGGCTGCCTCGTGGAAAAAACCACCGAAGACGACTGCTTCGTCTCGTGAAGGTGCTGTACAGCCGCTACGGCGAAATGCCACTGCAATGGACACTCAGCCTAGATTTGTTCGAACCTCAACATGGAGTAGCCGCCGCGACCCGCACGGCGTGTATCATTGAGTACCCATTACACAAGTAGATCAGCGGCGTGGTGCCGACTTTTCTGCCCATGCCAAGGTGGAATAGACTGAAACGCGCTGCACCCGCGACCACCTGGCACTGAGTTCCCTCTCGCGCATACTTGTAAATCCTTCCAGATACATATATATGTATAAAGGCGTTTAAAAAGGAAAATAACAAAGTAAATAAAAAAAGAAAACCAACACGAACCAAGGAAAGAAAACGTGTGCAGATAACATTCCCTCTTAGACTAACAACTGTAAATGAGAGGGAAAAAGCGTTTGTTTTTTTATTCCACAAGGAGTACCAAATAACCACTGTTTTTGGGTGCAAATTAGAGAAGCGTTCAAAGCGAATCTGCAGCACTGTTGTAACATTATGCATAAGAAAAAAAAACTGTCTGGGTGTACCTTTTTGTTCTCATTGGATTGGGGATTCCTGGCTACTCTCCTTTGCTCTGATATATTCCCACGGTGCGGCTTTATTTCTATTTCCCGTCTCAGTGTGTGTTGGTGTGTGCACGCACCAAGTTACCCGTTTAGAGCTTTTTTATTTTTTATTTTTTGTTTTTGTTTTTGTTTTTTTTGTTGCGATATTTCAGCAATCGAAGTTATTTTACTTGAGGGCTTTTCCTGCTTTAAAAAAAAAAGACTATTTCTCTCTCTCTGTGTGACTGTCTGTGGATGTCTTTGTTTGGGTGGAGTGCGAGAGTATAAAAGAGGGCGGAGAAGTCTCGTTGCCGGGTGCCTGCCCCGGTGGGAAAGCGGCTGAAGGGGGACTGAAGGCGACAACTGAGGCGAGGCGACGAAGCTGATTTTTCTCCCACCACCGTGCGCCGGCGCTTGCGTGCGGGAGGGGCGCACGGGTTTTCTTTGACAAACGGCGAGGCCTCTCCTGCTGGGCCTCACCCGCGCCGGCGGCGCCTTTCCTCCCCGCTGGGTTGCCCCCGCATCTGCTCTTCGCGTTCCCTCTTCTTTATTTTTGTTTTCTCTTTGTTTCTGCCACAGAAGGAGGAGAGTGACCTGAGCTCTGCTGCCACAGAACGACATCGCCGCTTGAGCAAACAACGGGGGGTGAAGCGTGAAGCGAAGCACTTGACTCCAGGAGCCAGTTACCACGTAAAGGGGAAAAAAGAAAAAAAAGAAAGAAAGAAAAACGTTAGTGCGCGGAGCAGCGAAGGAAGAGGGACACACACACACACCCAATTACACACTCACACACTCACACACTCACACACTCACACACACACACACACACAGGACCAAAGAGGAAAGGTTGGAAGCTGTTCGACTCCAACAAAAAAACGAAAAAAAATAACAAAAACAAAAACAAAAAACAGTCGTCAAGGCCGAGTCCTCATTGCTTGTCGAGGCCTTAAAAAAAAAAAGCTTGGAAAAAGAAAGAAAATAGTGTCAAAGAAGAAGGGGCAACTGCAAGCATAATAACACCAAATGTCGTATTGGGATAACATCGGCTCATCTGTCATTGGTGAGGGAGGCCAGAGTGGTGATGCGAAGAACTCTGTCGAGGTGGACTGGTTCTCGAACAACCATGACATCTTCAGCGGCGGCAGAGACACCTTTCTTGTTGACCCACGTGATATTAAACGGGCCGAGACGGCCCCATCCGTCCTCACAATGTACTCCGCGGATGGAACTCTGTGCGTCGGTGGCAGCCTGGAAGAGGAGGTGCCCCCTGAAGAGGAATACCGCTACACCGAAGAGTACCATTTGCTGTACTACTCCAAGTACCCTCGCGATCCACGTATGCTTGTGCCACTTCGATCCTGCGGTGGTGTGAGGCGTGCGGGAGAGCCGGGCTTGCCGGGCCGTCGTGGCGTCACGGGGAATCAAAAGTCCTCTCAAGAAGCTGGGAATGCCACAGACAGCCGTGAAGCGACAGCGAACAACGCCCAGGAGACGGAAGAAAATGCCCCCGATTCCCCTGACAAGGGAACGGCGTATGCAAAGAGCGTTTTAGACTCCCTGACCAAGAAGCAGCAAAAACAGCAGGAAGAGCAACAAAACCGGCAGCGATATGAGGATGTTCCCTCCTTTTCAAGCATGGAGGTAGATGCAACACTTTCTGACACACCCATGGGGGGCAGCGTCAGCCCTCCGGCCACCACCGGAGGCTGTGCACAACTCCAGGCCAACAAAGAGGCGGCTTCCAATGGTGGCGGTCAACCACCGCCTGCTTCCTCGCCCCAGTTGTCGCGACGGGGCGGTGGAGCATCGCGTCGGGGGGGTCAGCATAGCGGCCCAAATGCTTCAAGCGGAGGGGCAAGGAATAATGCACGTCGGCAGGCAAACGGAGGTGTTCTTAGCTCTCTTAGAGCCCCAGCAAATGAGCTCTCCTCGGTGCGAGAGCATCTTGAGGAGATGAACCATGAATGCTCTTACGGTGCTATTCAAGGTCGTGTTGTCGCTTTAAGCAAGGATCAAGAAGGCAGTCGCTTCGTTCAGCGCCTTCTGGAGGAGGAGCAGAACGTGGCTAGTATTTTCGCCGAGGTTCTTCCTAGTACATGTGAGTTAATGGTTCATGTGTTTGGCAACTATGTATTGCAGAAGTTGTTGGATGTGCTTCCAGCGAAAAGTGAAATGTTCAAGCAGCTTTTTGAAAAGGTAAGTGGACGACTGAAGGAGTATTCATTCCATACTTATGGTTGCCGCGTCATACAGCGTTTCCTGGTGAAGGCATCCCCTGAAATACGAGAGAATATACTTGTTGAATTGAAGGACTGTATCGTGGACTGCGTTTTTGACCAAAATGCCAATCACGTGGCACAAAAGATTATAGAGGTTATGCCAGAAAAGACACAGTTTATGAATGAGGCCTTCTTGCCTGCTCTGAAGGCGTTGTCTCGCCATCCGTACGGGTGTCGTGTACTACAGTGCGTTTTTGAGAAATGTTCCCCGGTTCCCGAGGTAAATATACGCCCACTCTTGGAAGCAGTTTTGGAGCATGTGCATGAGTATGTCATGGATCAGTATGGTAATTACGTTGTACAGCATGCATTGCTCAACGCCCCCGAAGATCTTCGCAAACGGTTTGTAGAATTTCTCATTCCTCACGTGTACGCCTTGTCGTGTAGCAAGTTCGCTTCCAACGTGGCCGAGAAAACTATTGTGAAGGCAAACAAGGATGAGCTGCAACAAATTGTGGATATCCTCACGCGTCCACCAGGTGGGGCTGAAGATGGAAGTTGCCTCGTTCTTATGATGCAAGACCCTTATGCAAATTACGTTGTACAACGCCTTCTTCAGGAAGTGAATAAGCAACAACAGCAACACATTGCCGAGCAAACACGAAGACACCTTTCAAATATCCGTCGTTCAGTCTATGGTCAACATCTTGTTCAAAAAATGGAAAACATGGGCATGTTTTCATGGATAGAAGGTGAAGTATGCAATAATCCTGTGTATCATGAGCAAACTGCCATGGGATGTGTGTCAAATCGGAAAATTCGTGGACCCCTGGGGCTTCGCAATGGTGCACGTGGCGTTTCAGCACCTCAAAGTGCCTATGTAACGCCAATAGAATCATCACTTGCCACTGCCAATTCATATCGGCCACCAGAGGCGTCTGTTGCGGTTGCCGGGAGAACTGTGTTGCCTTTGGCGACGGCGGGATCTGGCTACAGCTACGGTTATCTAGATTCGCCATCCGATACCATACTGGCACCAACTCAGCAGCTGCAGCAGGCTCCGCACCACCTGATGTCTGTTCCTGGCGTGACGATTGGAGTCCAGCCGTGCTATCCAGGCATGATGCCTCCCGCTCCAAGGTCTCAGGTGATGCATACTCAGCAGCGTCAGTACCAACCACGTCAGGTATTTGCATTACAAGGACAACAAGAAAGCTATAATATGTTGGATTCGACATCGATGCCAGAGCATCAGCAGCAGATACCTCAAGCAAACCAGGTTACCACAACAAACGCCATTTATGCCAACGCAGGTGCACATGTAGGCCAAACACCCGACAACAAGTGGGCAAACACCTACCAAACTCTCAACACCCCTGTACAACAGACGATGTCGTGTGGTGTTGGTGCCCCCAATTTGTACCCCAGCGTGGATACGGCGCCGGCCTTCTGGAAGTGGGGCTGCGATCCCGTCCTTGCCTTGTCTTCATCCGCAGGACAGCAGCTGCGGCTAATATAGCTTGGACTGGACAAATGATCCTGTTGACATCTCAATTCACGAGAGTTTCTATGCGGGGCTTGATGGCGGAATGCGATGCCTGCATAGGTGCAATGCTGGGGGTGGGTGAGGAGGAAGGGTGATGGGAACAGAAAAAAAAAAGGATAAAACACGTATCCTGCTTGCCAAATAAAAAAAAACAAACAAACAAGGAAGCAAAGTCCGACATATCATTTATTTATTTATTTTTTTTACTTGGAAAGCGCGTTCAGAAGAAGAGAATGTTTCTGCAACAGAAACCGGAGTATCTAAACGAATTCATCAAAATAAATGTAAAAAGAAAAAGGGGACGGCAGGAAAGTGCCCAATATGAATGCCCTCTCTTATTCGTTGCCATTCATTTTGGATCATTCACGGCAAAGTGTGGCTTACCCGAGAGGAGGGGGAAATAAAAAAGAAAATGTCATTGTGTTCGCAGTGACAACTTGAAAAAGGGAAAACAGTTGTGGCGCTTCGACGTGCGGACGGGTGTTGAGTAACCCTTCTTTCGTATTCTGTGCATCCTCTTTTTTTTTCGTATTTGTTTGTTTGTCTGGAGGAAAAAGAATTTCTAGAAGCTTTGGAAACAATGTGCGATCCCCGATGAGTCTAAAGAGAGAAGGTGCCGCTTCCTTTTTCTCTGTCCTGTTTCTTTACGCACAAATTGAATTTTGTTCTCAGCGGTATCGTGTTGGAAGACGGTGGGCGTTAGTTTTTTTTTGTCTGTTTTTTTTTTCTCCCTCTGTCATCTCCCCCTTATCCCGATATTACTACCCTCCACGCGGCGTAGGGTTCGGCGGCTGCGTGACCCCAATGACTGCCACTTCGTAAGTCCACAATTGGCTCCGCTGGTTATGGTATACATTTACTGGACCAATTGGTTTATTGCTTTGTGAGTATGTTATATAAGCCTCATCAGAGTTTGGACTTAGGGCGCAAAGAGCCAACTTCTAGTTTTCTTTCGCCCTCCTTTCAATTGATAGGAGTGGAGAGAGGACACGGCCTCATTGTGAGGTGCATGCTACTGTTTTCTTTTTTGTTTTGCTTTGTTTTGTTTTGTATTTGTTAGTTTTTTTTTTATAGATTGGCCTCGTTTTTTTAAAATGTTATTATTCCTTTTGTGTCGCTACAGGAACGAAGAGAAAAAGCGAGTCGTCTTTGTGCTTGCTGCTTACACCACCAGGCTTCACGCATTCCTTCTTTCGACGTTTTTTGTGGGTTTCGTTCCGAACTGAAGGCGCACGTAGAGGAGGAAAAAACGGAGTCAATCACACGCGCATCTTCATTTATTTCATTTTCTCTTTTCATTTTTTTTCTCCTCCTCCCCTCCCCTCGGTCTTTTTTTTTGTGTTGTTATTGTTGTTTGTTTCTTTGTTTTCGTCATTCATGGTACTATGCAACGGGGGCGTCACACATGTATCTCTGAAAGGGGTATGGCTGGAAGGGGGGGGTACTACTTTTGTTCCGCATTTCCTTCAAAACTGTCCTCTCTGCTCCTCGGCAGCCATCGGTCTCTCAATGTATCTTTACCTGTGTCTATACCTATGCATTTACGTACAAGTCTATGTATCTACCTATGCCCACTCACGCCTCTTTTTGGCCTGAAAAAAATTTTTTTTATTTGTCATCGTGAGTGCTTATTCTTACGCAAGTACATGCATTTATATATGAGGAATTTGTTTTGTGTTTCCCCTTTGAAGTCCCATTGCTTCCATTCACCAAACTCCCACGCATCAACGCACTTACACAGGAGTAAGGCAGGATAACAGTAATAACACCAATAATATGAATAATTATGATACGCTTTTCACCCCCCATCGTCACCGACTAGAGAAAAAAAAATAATTAAAAACAA